TCCTACACATGACTCAAGTTTAGCCTTTTCTCTGGCAGAGTGGTGCTCCATTGTGTATCAACAGCACATTTTCTTTATCCATTCATCTGTTGATGGACATACAGGCTGCTTCCAAGATTTAGCCCAGTTTTGCTGCTGTAAACATGGCATGCATGGATCGCAGTAATATGACATCTTCCACTCTTTCAGGAAGATACCCAGGAGGGGAATAGCTTGGTCAAATTTTTATTTTTAATTTTTTGAGGAGTTGCCCAGTATTTTTAAAGAAACTGAAGTAGTTGTCAAAATTTATAACTAGGAGATTTCACACAAAAACCCCACTTACCAGCTTCCTCAGAAAGCAGAGGATAAACAGCACTGAGGGCACAGTGCTCCAGGGCGCTCCCACCCGTGTGCAGGTCTGCTGCGTGTCCCCACGCCGCGCTGTGTCACACCGAGGTCCCAGTCCTCGTTTATAGCACTGGCTGGTGTTGCACCCGGTACAGCATGACAGGGTGCTGTGTAATTAGGACAGGGAATACTACAGGGGGAGTAGAGTGGGAATAGAGCTCAGTACAGAGAGCACAGTACAAAGGCTTTAGAGCCAGTTAGGTCTGCGTTCACAAGTTAGCCCTGCCTCCTGCCAGCCTTTGCCCTAGACAAGTACGTTGCTTGTGATAAAGTGGGTAGTGTTGTCTCCTTTCCCTTACGGGTTTGTAGTGAGGATTTACAAAAATCTATCTATGGATCTTAACATGCTTAGTCCACCATGGTAGATCCTATCTAAAAAGTCTAACTGGAGGCCTGAGATTAAGTACCTGGAAATTGCTGGAAAAAGAAATGTCAGGGTTGGGGTTATTTCAGTGATAGAACACTTGCCTAAGTTTGCATGAAGTCCTGAATTTGGTCCCCAGCACCACCAAAAGAAAGGAAATGTGGAAAACAAAAGAAGCCAAAACCAAAAATTCTAGGTAGACTAAAGAGTTAAACCTGAAATGTGTACCTTTTTTTTTTTTAACAGAAAGGAAATACGGTTTTATATTTAACTTTTCTCAATGTGAGAAAAGACTTTCTAAGCATAAAAACCTTGAAGGAGCGCCAGAGAAAGGTCAGTGGAGTTGACTCTAGAAACTTCTGAACTCTTCTATGTTAAATAACAAACACAGTTAAAAGGCAAGTAGCAAGTAAGAAAAGCATTCGTAAAACTTACGACAAGGGCAAATCTCTTACTCTGTGATTCCAGATCGGTAAGGAAAACGCTAGCATCCAATAGAACAGTGGACAGAGACCGCAAGCAGAGCACACAACAGAAGCGCCGCTCACGGCAGAAACGTTAAAAAGTGTCAAGCCATGTTGTAATCAAAGAATGCTAAATTTGAGCTGTCATTTTTCCCATTGTCAATTGATAATTGGTACGTGCTGTCCTATTTTCCTGATGGAATCATAAGTCACTGCAGTCTTCCTAAAATAGCAATTTGACAGTGTAAATTAAGTGCCTTCAAGTTGATACCCTTGGGCCCAGTAATTCCATTTTTAAGAATATATCCTAGGGATATATTAAGAGATATTTTTTGCTTTGCCTTTACTCACAGTGATCTTATTTTCTTTCTCCTCTTCAAAAAAATACTAGTGTGTTAAACTCTCAGTCTCCAGCAAGTTCTGTAATGCTATATACTTAACGCTAGTGCTGTGCTTGATGTATGTAGGTGGTCGAAAAGTAATTGTGAGTTTAGAGAAGAAAGGACACGTTTGTACAAAGCCATGTTATATAACATTTAAAGTTGTAGAGAAATGCTCACAATACGTTAAAATGCAGGGCACACGATCGTATGTATGGAATATTCTGTGCGTTATGTGAACTCTGAATACTGCTATGTGTGGTAGGCCCTGAGCGTTTCTACAAAATCACATAGCCCTTCCCTTGTGGTGTTTCTGAGAATAGGAAGACAGACACGGAATAAGTAATTACACACTGTCTTTCACAGTAGTCAGTTTGTGTTACTTCTACATTCCAGAAAGAAAAACTGTAATGATGATTTTAAATCAGAATTGATTTTAATTTCTAAGGCACTGTTATGGGACAAGAAAGGAATGATTACATGAGAAATCTGAATTTCATACAATGAATTGTCTAATAAAAAGGAAAACTCTTAGGAAGCATCCTTAGGAAAATTTATTTCTAAAAAAAAGGAAAAACCCTCCATTGGATGGTTAGTAATATAACAATAAATATGCCCAGATTTTTTTTCCTAAAATACCATTTCGTAAAGGGAACCGAGTTGGATAATATCTTGGTGAGGTGGAGCTAAGAGTCTCGAGACATCTCCAGCCTCATGTAAAGAAGCATAATTAAACATTCAGATGAATGGGCTGTGGCTGGAGAGGGAGTGGGAATGTTGATCAGCATTAACATAAAAGTCTGTAGTTTTTGCTTTTTTGATCTACCGGTAGGGTTTTGAGTGTGTAGAAAACCAAAAACGTCAACGACAAAGCCCACCCTGTAGATTGATTGTGATCCTACAAGCTGCTCTTAACCAGTATCAGGGATGGAAAATTTTTCTCTTAAGCAATGGTTTTTGGGAGTGTGTTTTGTTTGGAAGAAAGTCTGGCGTAAACGAGAAGAGTTTCAGAGTCTGTTTTGGTAACCTAACCATGCTTAATGACCGTGGACGTGCTCCTGTAAACAGACGGACCCAGGCTGCCTCCACGGCTTGTCCTCGGTCAGCCAAGCCTCTATACAAGCCGCATGGCCCCCCTGGCCTTGCACCTGCTTCCTAGGTAGGAAAGGTCACGTTAAAGGGTGGCACTATGCTCTGTTGCCACTCTTGGCCTCAAAAAAGAAAGTCACTTTTGTGTACTCCGTTGCACTGGTAGGTTCCCTTGGCCTCTCCCCTGTCCATCTCCTCCTGCAAATTAGGAATGCGCTTTCTGAGCCAAGGGTGTGGGAAGGAGTAAATACCGAACTGCAGAGTGATGCCGTGACCTCTCAAAGTGGGCACACTTCCTGTTGCTGTCTCCTTCATGGATTGGTGCGAGCGGCCCCCTCCCTAGTGAAGGGTTCCCTTTGCTCTCAGGTGTGACTGGGGGTTATGTTGGAGGTACTGTGTTCAAACCCACCTGAAGCTTTCCCTCATTTGAAAAATCCAAATCTTAGAGTTAGGGTGTGACTGTGTCATACTTCCTTTTTTCCGTCTGTGCTGATGTTTCCCTCTTGCATTTGCAATTCTCTTTCACCTTTGAGGTGCATTCCTGCTTCGTGTTTCCAGGTGGAATTACAGTGCTCACTTCTCCACCACTGCTCGTCCTTCTCAGTGGTGTTTTTGATGTTCTAAGAGATCTTCACCTCAGAATTGTTCTGAAGTTGTGGTTAAGTGTCTTTCCTCTGTGTTTTACTTTACTCTCCTGTCTAAGTGTCAGAACTTAATTTATACGTTCAGGCTGTCTTACCCTCTCTGATTACATGGAGGGTAGCAGCAATTCCGCTTCTAGCTAAGCTGAACCTTGCCTCAGTAACTGCCTGCACACCCAAATTAAGGAGCCTTGGCCCCTCTAATCTTGTGGGTGCTGCACTCCCTTCTGTTATCTTCTCTTCGTAGGGCATTCACCCCTTCTGTCTGGCATGCTTCTCTCAGCCATCTTTAGCCGTCTGAGATGGAGGTGGGCATCCAGAGCTGGGCAGGGTCGTCTCCCGTTGCTCTCTGGTTGGCTGAGCCATCAGGTAAATACGTTGGTGCTTACTTCCTCCAGGAGAGAAAAGGTGACAGACACAATTAAAGTCACTCACTGTAACCAAACGTTATTTCAAACATCACTTATGTCTTCTGCCTGTAAAACTTACGACTGTCCCTGAGAAAGTCATTGCCAAGTGTTGGGTCCTGGAACTTAGACTGTTTATGCGAGTTCCTTATTGTTTTGATTTTGCTTTTCCTGTGGGAAATAGTTGTAAACAGTGAAGTTCTTAGAAGCACCCGTCCAGTGATAAACATAAACACAGCATTGCGCTGAAATCCACCCTGCAGTAACCCCATGTAACCCCGGCCTCGGAGGTGAAGTGCGTTCACCGCTGGGCCCAGCAGTCCTGGCACAGCACAGGTGGAAGAAGCCGGGGAGTCAGCCCTGCCCTGATCTCAGCCCTTGACGTGCCCTCATTGCCTTGAGCAAGGAAGTTGTCCACCGGCCCCTCCGTCAGCTGTGACGCAAGAGTAACACCACCTGTTGGTTGCTTTGCAGGCTGTGCTGTGAAGACTCGTGACAGCACTGGGCATAAGCTGATTTTGCGCCCTCCAGCAGAAAGGGGCAGTGTAAATGCAAGTATTTGTGCGCTAATTGTGCAGGAGCTGTGATCCATCCTGCAAGCCCAAGCAGCAGGGCTTCGTGGGCAGCACTGCTCTGCGTAGGCCAGAGCTGCCTCTTTGAGAAGGTCTTGCTGTCTTCTGTCGGGAAGGGGACGGGAATGTATCTCCAAGACAGCAGAGCAGCCTCGGGAAGAGCTGAGAGTGGTTTTAACGTGGGTGCCAGTTAGTGAGTGAACATAAATGTGAAAAGGGGCGGCCGCATTCACCCCACCACGCCTTGGTTAAAAGGCCGTTTTCCCCACACAGTGTTGAAATGCAGGGTGCACGTAAGACAGCGGGAAGGGATTCTTTCACAAGTGACTTTCTGTCTTCCCTGGGCCAGAGCAGGCTTTGGCACATTTGGGATGACGATAACAGTAACAACTAGCTCTCACATGCACTGCGCACCAGCCTCCGAGGGCCGACACGTACTGTCTCAGGTGGGGCTCACAGCAGCCCTGCGTGACCGATGTTATCGTCCCCACGTTACAAATGAGCAAATCAAGGCACAGGGAAGTGAAATCACTCACCTAAGGCCGAACAGCTGCGCAGCAACAGAGCCGGTGCGTGAACCCCGCACACAGACTGGCTGAGGAGGAGCGGCTTTCGTTTCTTTTACCACTGTCCGTTTCTGTCACCATTGCTCACACAAGCCAAAAGTTCCTCCCAGTGAATGCTGTTTTCTAGGAAGAGAACGGAGACTATACCTATGTGGAAAGAGTGAAGATACCCTTGGATCACGGGGCCCTGTTAATCATGGAAGGAGCTACACAAGCGGACTGGCAGGTGAGGGCGCTCACGGAGCCTCCTTCAGTGGCTGCAGGGGTTAATTTCAAGTAAACATGGTCAGAAGCAAGTTGCTATTGTAAGGGGCAAGAGCCAGTCAGCGCACATCATTTCCCAGCTTTCACTTCCAAGGCGGGTGCTGATCCTACTGGGAACCCAAGTGGGCTCCTGCAGCAGCGGGACCCAGTAGGGCCGGATGGACATGTTCTGCACCTGTGCTGCCCACTGTCCTAGCCGCTAGCCACATTGACTGTTGACCGCATAAAATATGACAAGTATGCTAAAGAACTGCGTCATAAATTTAATGAATTTAAATTCCAATGACTTCCAGTAGCTAGAAGCTCTCATTTTAGGCTGCAGTTCCACAGCTGGGCCAGGCCATTTTTAGGCCAGTTCATTTTTGAGTTATGTGTGTTGTTGTACAAATACTTAGCAAGAGAGTGGAATCTTGTGACTCTTGGGCCTTCTCCATTTTTTCAAATGAGATTGGGGAAGATGGCAGGAATCTGAGAAGAGGAGCACTAATTAGAAAAGATGACAGTGTCTCACTGTCAGGGTGCTGGCATGTGGAGGGCCAGTGGTGCAATGGGTAATGTGTCTGACTACGGATCAGGGTGCTGGCATAGCCCAGTGGGGTTGACTGGGAACCGGAGAGAAGGATACCATTTTCCGCATAACTTTAAAGAGTTTGAGACTGGAATAAAATGGAAATACTTCTATATCCTCATAAGTAAGTTGTAAATTGCTTTGAATTTGAAGTGTGTGTTTATACCCAAGAGTTATTTATATTTCTATTTAGCATCAAGTGCCCAAAGAATACCACTCCAGAGGTCCGAGAGTAAACCTGACCTTTCGCACCATTTATCCGGACCCCAGAGGGGCACCCAGCTGACGTGAGCGCTGCGGAGCTTTGCGTGCAGTGGCTACGCCCACAAGGCCCTTTGGCCCTTCGGCTGGAAGACACTTCAGGAAGCTGCTCAGCTTATCCCGAGATGCAGCTCTTTGGAAGATGGTGGCATTTGCTTCCCAGCTCACTGTCCCGTTAAATGAGAGCCCACAGCAGTTCATTTGGTTTTATGTCCACTGTGGGAACAGTTGTTCCGAAGCACATCTCAAAATCGTGCATTATCTTTAGACAAATTAAAAGCCACTGCGGCTGTGCCCTCAGATGATTTGGGCCATAGTCTGTTTTTTTTTCCTGCCCTCCCCCTGTAATCTGAAGGAATTTGAATGGCCTCGTGTCTCTGGGGAAAATCTGCACGTGTTTGCTCCTTGTGACGTCTGTGGAGTGGAGATATAAATACATGTCAGCAGCCCTGGAGCCTTCTGTAGGCAGACAGCTGCAGAAACCCAAACAGAGGTGGCTTCGGGAGCTTTGCTGAAATCTGTCTTGGCACTGTCACATCGTAGCCTGTGTGTCACTGTAATGGAGAGCTGTATATTCAGGGGACACTGTTTCTAACTGTCTTCCTGGGACACACTTGGGAATAGTCCTCCAAATAAAAGATGGAGCCCGGGTGCTCTAATCTTCACCTGGGGCAGTCATCTGGACACCTATCATGCGAGAAAATATGGTCCCCTCAGGGAAGGAAGAAGAGCTGAGGATTCATGAGAAGTAGGCTGAGATGTTGGCAGAAGCGCAGCAAATGCCCAGTGAGTGACAGCTGTTCCACACAGAGTAGTTTCCCCTGGGGAATCAGTCGAGTCGTGTAAAGCCAGCCAGAGAGGAGCGAGGCAGACCTCAGGGAATAGACCGAGTGAGCTCGTGGTCCCCGCCTTCGATCCCGGCAGCCCGTGACCAAGGCTCTTTGTGACTCCGTGTTCCCGTGCACACAGTTTCCGAGGCTCGAAGGTTAGCCTGTGATGTGACTGAGGCTCCCAAAACAGCAGAGTGGCTGCCCCTTCTTGCATCATGGAAACACGTGTCTCCTTGACCTCTTGCCTCAGGAGCAGTGTGCCAGGTAAACACGCTGTCATTTAAATAAACTTAAATAGATGAAAGTGGGTCAGAGGAGTTAGAGTTTCTCTCTCTGCCTCGGGGGAAAATATACAGCACCCTCTTGCTTTTCATCCTGTTTCCTTTCATAGAAGTAAGATCGATGATCCCCACGGCTGTGAAGTGCCAGTGACAGGGCTCTTACATAGAGCTGGAGCTGGGCTGGGCTGGGCTGGGCTGGGCTGGGCTGGGCTAGGCTAGGCTGGGCTGGGCTGTCTGTCAGAGTGTATAGCTTCTTTCTGGGAGACATACTAAATGCTTCATACACCTTGAGCATCAGACCAAACCTTCCAGGGAAGAAGATATAAATCCTCATATGCATCAAATCAACTGTTGAAGCCCTAGCTCTTATCCTGTTAAAGCCAATAAAGCCTGGCCGGGGTGGTAGAGCTCGCTTTGGTTTGGGGTCTATTGCACAACCCTGGGAAATTCCTCTTCCGTCATGATCTCCCCCTGCTGCACCCAGGCATTTGATCTCTTCCCTTGTTGCACGCCGCTGACACAGGGAAGCAAATTCCTCTCCAGCAGACAGATCGGGCTGCCATCCCCTGGGTTCCATGGTCAGACAGAAGCAAACCTTAGCCTTTGTTTCTCACCGTCACTGTAGACAGCCACTTACGCCACCGCTGAGATAATGTGCCCCCTGAAATGAAGTGCCGAGGAGGTGGCTGTCCCAGAAGAAAACTGCCGTGTTTAGGAGTTGGCAGGAACTCTGGGTGGTGGCAGAGGACAGCCAGGCCCAGCAGGTCACCCCCAGCCTGTTGCTGTGTGCACTGGAAACCCGTACTACCTCGGAGTTGGGGGAAGCAGTTTCTGCCAACGTTCCACATAAAGAGGAAGGCAAACAGCTGTAGCCTGAAGAAAAACAGGTTCAGGGTTTTCAGCTGCTTTTTTCTTTTCGTTTTTAAGCAGTCTTGGGAACCTCTACACAATCCTTAATCCTCTGTCGTAATAGTACGACAAGGAAGACAGCCTGTTCCCATTGTAGAGATGAGGAAAAGAGTCTCCAAGAGCTTAAGTAGTTTAGCAGGGGCAGAACTGAGACAGTGGTGAATCCCCAGACGTGTGCTTCCTCAGGCCTGGTTCCAGCAGAGCTGCCCCACCGCCAACCCCATGTCACCTGCTTTCTCATGTCTCAGGGCAGGTGCCTGCGTGTCATCTCTGCTTAATCAGCATTTTAGCATCTTCTGGTCAAAAACTGCCGGCTGGGCTAGCAATTGGTCATTTAAGTGGGGAAACTCATTTCGGGGGTGAAATCTGGTGAATTTAGAAAAATCCTCCCTCAGCCATCTTTCCTGGCAAGTGCTTCCTACCACACGCCTGGAAACTCGCAGGTAGGTAATGATTCCCCTGTGAGCCCTTCTGCCCTCATTGTCTGAGCTATCTGGGGACCCTGAATGGTGCCCAAACTCACCACCACAACCCCGGTCAGATAGCCCAGAGAAGCAGGTCAGGCTCCAGCTCAGCATGTCTCCAGCACACAACTTCCCTCAAAGCTGGGAACTGAACGTGACACTCAGCATCAGACTGACTCCCTGAACTGAGGTGGGGTCCAACTCTGATCCATGTAGACTAAACCAGTAGCTCTGCTGATGATTTACTGTAGGTTTGGGTCACAGCTGATGAGCCTTGGGGTACCCACCTCACTGCCTGCGGCCCGAGAGGCTGCTGTGACCCTGCCTTGATTCCGGCAGGTCTGCCCCAGTCGCTGGCTGACACGGGCTCCCGAAGTGTGTCATGGCCACCCCGAAAGAGTTAAGGTGGCCACAGTGAGCGGAATGCTCCCGTTGGAGATTTTCAGAGAGTCCTGACAAGTGATGTGTTCCTGCTCTGCTGGGAATACTTCTTGACTTTTGGCAGCTTTTTCTTGGCTGCAGAATATCTAAGACCCACTTTGCCTTTTGTGGTCATAAACACTTGTAGTGTTGAATCTGAAATCTTGATTATTTTATTTTTCTTAACGGCGTCTTTGAAAGAGCAGAACGTTTCCATAGTGATGCAATCTGTTTGTTTAAATCTTTACTTATACATGATTCCACCTACACGTTCCCTTCCTAGGGACCAGTTTACAACTGCCCTGTCCCCTGCCTCCCATTCGGGTCCTGGAAGAAGCCCCTTAGGAGACCCCTCAGATTTGTGCTACTGGAATCCGCTTAGATGCGATTCCTGCGTGGGGATCAGGAGGAAAGTGGCTTTGATGTGTATTTATTAGAGTGGAACACAGTCTAACGATGCTTTTTCCAGCTGCTTGAGGAGTCATGTGCCTCTTGTTATAAAAGCCTTCTTCAGCCTGTAACCAGAGCCCCGAGAGTTGAAGTGGGTATTTGTTACATGTTAAAGCTGGTGGTGGGCAGTGTTGGAAGAGTGAGTGTGTGTGTGTGACATCATGGTGAGCACATCTCTACTGTCACTGTCCCTCATGGAAACTGCACTGTCACACTCCCTCATCACTGGGACGTCCCTGGATGTGTCACTGCCCCTGCAGGGCCCTAGCTGGAACCCCAGGTTTGGCTCTGGACAAACATCTTGCCCCACAGGCAACAGTGGAGAGTGGAGGAGGGGAGGTCAGCAAGTGGCTGGTCTGGGGACCTAGCCTCACTCTCTGAGTCATCCCTAGCAGCTCTCCCATGGGTTATTTTTCGAAGCGCATGAGGGAACTGAGGCACCTAGAGGATTTACAGGATCCTGGCTCTAGTGACGGTGCCCGTGGGGATCAGTGTGGTCTGGAGTCTCTGCCTCCTCCTCCACGGCTAGCCGCAGAAGTGGCTGTGGCGTTGCCTCCTGGGGTGGAAGGGCTGAGCTTTCCAGGCCCCTTTGCAGGCAGCAGCGGCTGAGACGCCCGGCGAGAAGCAGGAGGAAGTGGGGGGCCGCGTGACTGGGGTGCAATTAGCCGCCCACTGCAGGAAGGCTGTGGGCGGCGCTGTGACGACTGAGCGCCCGCGGTGCCTGAGGGTCCCCCGTCGCATCCTGAATCCAGCGCGTGGCGAGGGCTGGCGCACCCCTCCTTCCAGGAGTCGCCGCAGCAAAGAGCCCCCCAGCCGCCAGCCCCGACTAGCACCCCAAGAGCCAGTCTGCAGGCACTGACCAGACAAAGCCGCCTTCCAGGGCTAACACCGGGACCCCAGCTCGGGACTGGGAGAAGGGGGATGGGGTCATGCAGGAAGGGAATCCTCCCTCACAAAGCAATCCTGGGTCAAGGGCTGACTCCTCCTTGGCCAAGGAATGTTTGTGGGTGGCTGGATGAACCCTGCCCTGAGGCTTCCTAAACTGGCCAAGGGTAATCAGACCGCTGGGACCACCCAGGCAGAGAGGAGAGGGGGACCCTCACGGAGGGCTCCTGCTTCCCTTCCTGAGGGCTTCCTCCAGCAGTGTTCCAGGGCTTAGCCCCTGATTGTCCCCAGCGTCTCCCCCTCGCCCACACCCCCTTAGCCTGTGTTCACCTGGCCTGAGCGGGATGGAGAGCCCTGAGGTGAAACCCAGGACAGTGGGTGCAGATGTGTGGCTCTTCCCACAGGGACCTGTCCTGCCCGAGACACAGAGCCCCTGAATGGCTCATGGCCATTTGTCTCCCCAAAGCGCCGAGGGTTCAGGTTGGGTTCCTCTCCCCACTGAACAGGTGAGAAAACCTGGGTCAAGGGCATAGCATCCAAAGGCCACCCAGGGAATAAGGCAGCGACCCATGTCAAGGGGCCAGGCTGGGGTGGCATTCTGCCACTTGAGTGACGTGGTCATGAGCAGGAACCTGGGGCATAGGCAGCTCAGGAAGGTCACGGTGTCTGTGGGGGCACCCTCCCGGGAGTGGCATTGGTCGTCTACACTGCACCAGCCAGGTGGCCGGAAGCTCAGCAAGGCTCCCTGCCACAGCTTGAGGTGGCACCCAAGCCCTGCCCAACATGAGGCTGGGACTGGCCCCTCCAGCCCCAGCACTGCCTGTAGGAGGGAAATTGGCAGTGCTGACACCCACCCTCCCCTAGCCACCAGTGGAGCCCATGTTGGAAGGAGGAGAAAAAGCCTAGGCCACGTCCCTCCTGAGTCACCTCGGATAGTCAGGCAGCCTCTGTGCTTCAGCTTCCTCAGCCACGAGATGGAGGTGCGCGCAGCCTCCTCTTGGGGGTTGTGCAAGGGTTGACATCAGGCGTGTCATGTGCCTAACGCTAACATGCTTAGTAATATAAT